CATTGAACTCACCACATGGTCAACTGTGGTTTGAGTCCTGGACCTGGTGGCTTGCTTTCTCACTTTCCCTCTCGCTCTCTCTCTGTTGCTCTCACTCTGTCCATCTCTGGTTAAATTAAAAGATAAATAAATAAATAAAGTTAAATAAAATAATTCTTTAAAAAAATACTGAAAAGCATAAAAACAGTGGCAATGGTTTATAAAACTCTCCTTAAAAGAAAACTCTCCAGGGCCAGCATGTGGCATGAAGTTCAGGTGGCTAGATCCCATGACTGTATGGTCCCAGTCCTCAACCCAGGGGCTCGAAAAACACACAGAGCACATGTGCATGGATGCCCAAAACTGCAAGAAGAGAATGGAGGAGAAAGGACTGCAGTGTGGCCAACCACTCTGAAGGGTATTTTCTCTCTTTCTCTCTTTCCTCTCTCTGGCAAATGCCCATACCCTATAGCAAACCTAAAAAAAAATATTCTAAAAATTTAAAAGAAAAAGACAACTCTCCAGGTGAAGCTTTAAACAGTACTTACACAAATTTAGCTCAACTATAATCACTTTAATTCTTAGTAGAGGTATTAAGATATTAGTGGTTTACATCTGATCAAGCTCTAAATTATAAGAACATAAAAATATTTAGACTAGAGACTTGTCTCTGCTCTAAACTGTAATAACATTGAAATGGCAATGCAAAGACTTCCTAGTCTATCCAGTAGTTTCTTTCTTTTTTTCTCTTCTTCTTAATGCCTACTTAAAAATTTAAACTCCTTAACCAGGATTCAAGTCACTAACATCTATCCCAACCGATCTTTCTTCCATTCCCCTCACATACCCTACAGTTTCCATGTAGTTCTTACACACACACTATATTTTCCCCCTTGGGGTCTTCAGTTCCTGCTATTAAAATGTTGCGTCTTCTAGGAAGGAACCAATGAGCTATTTTGTTGTTCATGTCTGCTCAAGGCAGCCTCCTACTGTAGCTCTCCCCTCTGAGCCACACTGCCACAATATGTCAATTCCCTGTGAAGCCGGGATACAACATATCTTTCAAAATGAAAAGAGAGTTCACATAAAGGATACTAAGATCTATACATTATGTGGCTATAGGTGATTTAAAAAATAACAGCCAAGGGGCCAGTAGGTGGTGGCACAGTAGTTAAGGTTCTGGATTTCCATATGGCTGACCGTGGTTTGAGTCCTGGACCCAGTGACATGAAAGTCACAACAAATAAAGAGATAAATAAATAAAAGTTTTAAATAAATAACAAAATATTTTCTTCAACATTAAAAAAAAAAAAAATTCTTAAATAGGTGCATCCATAAAAGTCCCATTAAGGAAATAGGGACCAGCAGTTAGCATAATGGCTGTGTCGCTGGACTCCCATGTAATCAACCATGGTTTGAGTCCTGGACCTGGCAGCTTAAACTCACTCTGGGTGCATGTACATGCATGCCCAAGATCCCGAGCAGAGAATGGAGAAGGGATTGTGGTGTGGCCAATCCCCCAAGGGGGTAATTTCTCGCTTTTTGTCTCTCTCTGTCTGTCTGGCGAGCGCACACACCCAATAGCAAAAACCTCTCAAAAAAAAGAGAAAAAAGAAGAAGAAAATATTGATAATGTTGACAGTGAAAATTATTAGAACTGTTTTGGGGCTGGCAGGTAGAGTAGTGGTTAAGGGCACTGAACTTTCACATGGCTGGCTGGGGTTCGAGTCTAAACCTGGCAGCTTGCTTTCTCATTTTTTCTCTCTCTCGCTTTCTCTCTCCCTCACTCTGTCCCTCTTTTATCAAATTTAAATAAATACATAAATAAAGCTTAAAAAAAAAAGAAAATCAGAACTTTTTTTTTTTTGGAGAGGTTTTCGCTATAGGGCGTGTGCGCTCGCCAGACAGACAGAGAGAGACATAGAGACAGAAAGCGAGAAATCACCCCTTATGGGGGATGGTCACGCCGCAATCTCTTCTCCTCCATTCTCCTCTCAGGATCTTGGGCACGCACACATACACGCCGGGCATGAGTTCTAAGCCACCGGGTCCGGGACGCGAACCACGGTCGACTACATGGGAGTCCAGCGACATAGCCATTACACTAACTGCTGGTTCCCAAAATCAGAACTTTTCTTACAAAAATGCTGAAGAACATTCATATGGTAAAGACATTCAAGTCTATAACTCCAGTTCCCCCTCTCTTTTCAGTTTCTTTTTTCATGTGGCAAGGGAGGAGTGGAGATATCCCTAACAGGGTCTCATCATACCATGATCTCCTTCCATATGCCAGCCTTCCAACCACCCAGGATAAGAAGTGCCCAGCACTTCAGGTGGACCCGAGATCTGATCCCAGGGCCTTCCCACATGGCTTCACTGTTGTACGGTTGTGCGCTATTGCCTGTGTCCCTGTGGCTGGGCCTATAACTCCAGTCTTGAACTCCTCATTACCTGTTGGCCTCTATGCCTTTGAATTCTTCAGTAGATCTTCAACTGATAAAATGTAAAAACATTTACCAGAACGTGCTCAAACTCTTTACTTATGCTATAACATAATTTAGGAAAAGTCATTAACCAAATTTAAACAAATTACTCAAAGAAAATGAAAACCTAGAATGCATTCCTAAAACGAGTAATATTTCTCTTTTCTCATCTATTAAAAATAGCAACAATACTCAATGTCTCCCTAATGTTGCTAGAAGACAAACTAGCCAGCCTATCTCATTAAGAACAAGGATCATGGGGCTGGCAGTGGCGTGGTGGGTGAGGCACTCAACTCCCACATAGCCAACCATGATTCATGTCCCCAACCCGGTGGCCCCAAAATTACAACAAATAAAAGCTTAAAAAAAAGAGCAAGGGGAACCAGCAGATGGCGTAGTGGTTAAGGCGCTAGACACTCCCACATTGCCAACCATGGTTGGAGTCCCGGACCTGGTGGCTTGCTTTCTGACTTCCTCTCTCTCTCTCTCTCTCTCTCTCTGTGTGTGTGTGTGTGTATCAAATTAAAAATAAATGAATTAATAAATAAAATTAAATAAATACTTATTTAAAAAAAAAAAAGAGCAAGGAACGTGTCACTCTTGTCCACTATAGCTATTAGCCATGCCTAGCACTGACATGTACTAAGTGTGTAAGGTTTCTTAGATAAACAGCTCCTACCATTTATAAGTGTGCTCTGTATCAAGCACTTTATACTTATTCCTTAGCATTCATGGTAATCCCCACACAACCACTGTTCTTCCTATTTCATAGAAGAGCGAGGTTAAGGTCAGTCCATGGTGTGGTGGTGAAGGTGGTTGGATCCTACATGGCTGAAGGTGTGCTTTGAGTCCTAGATCAAGTGACATAAGAAACATATAGGGTACATGATTGTGCGTGCCCCAAATCCCAAAAGCAGGGAAAGATTACGGAGAAAGGATTGTAGTGTGACCTTCCCCAATGTGGGGGGTGGAAATGCTTTTTCATTCCCCTCCTCCCCTCAGCTCCCTCTCTGGCAAGCTGATATGCCCTCTGACAAAATTTAAAGAAAAAAGAGAAGAAGTTAAATAAATTCTTTAGTCTCGTATTACTGTAAGTGGCAAAGTCCAGGTTCAAATTTGGATGTCTTTTTCCAAAGTTTATATTCTTTCAAAAAGCACAAGGGGCCAGCAGGTGGTATAATGGTTAAGGTACTAGATTCCTACATGGCCGACTGTGGTTTGAGTCCTGAACTCGGCAACTTGAAAATTGCAACCAATATACAAATAGATTTTTGTTTGTTTGTTTTTTGTTTTTTTTTTAAAGTATATGATGGGGACCAGTCCCATAACACAGAGGTTAAGCACTATGTTTTGGGGGCTGGATCCCATATGACCAAATGTAGGTGGAATTCTAGCCATCAAGAGTTTGAAAAACACACAGGCCCAAAATCCTGACAGAATGGAGACAGAAAGGGGACCATGGTATGACAATGTCCTTTAGACGGTACTCTCTCTCTCACTCTAGCAAGTGCATGTGCCCTTTGGCAACTAAAATAAATAAATAAATAATAATTTAGGGGCCAGCAGGTGGCATGGTGGTTAAAGTGCTGGACTCCCACATGGCCAAGCACAGTTCAAGTCCCAGACCTGGGGGCTTGCTTCCTCTTTCTCTCTCTCTCTCTCTCTCTCGTCAAACTGAAGAAGACTAAATAAAATAAATATTAAAAAAGAAAAAAGTACATGAGGAAATTGAGCGAAGGAAACTTTTTAAAATACTGGTGGCTACAAAACTGTATAAATGTACTACAAATCACTTAAAGTGAATGAATGATATATTAATAGTATGTCTCAATGGAATTTAGAAGAATGAGGCAGATTTGAATGTACTGACTTGAGATAAACTACTGAAAAATATCAAGGCACAGAGCAACAGATGTAGATATTCTCTTTTGTATAAATATATCTAAATGATGGCAGAGAAAAAATTCACCTTTTCTGGAAAGACTCAGGTGTCTAGAGTAGGAAAAAGGCTACTTTTCCACTGCCTACAAGCTTTTCTATTGTGAACTGTTTACTATGTCTATCTATTATCTTTCCAAATTTTAACAAATAAGAAAAAAAAACAAGAAGTAACAATCAATGCAACTATATGCGTTAACAATATTATAATTTCTTAAATTTTAAAGGATCTGAACAAGTACACAATACCATTTCCACCAAAAAGACTAGACTAAGAGAAAATGTAATTTTTCTCTGGGCTCGCTCAGTAAACACTGCTCATCTTTAGATCTCTGGCACCTTAATTGCAACACAATAAATTCTCACAGAAAAAAGTCAGAGCCTAAGTATCAATATAGACAGAGCCTATCTTTGTTAGTACTTCAATTAGTAATACAAAAGAATCTTTTTGAAATTTATATTTTACTCCCTCCAAAAGATCACTATTTTAGGATATTTTCTTTTAAATATATAAAGAATTTCCAATAATCCTCACTATTTTTGTTTTTAAAGAAAACACAACTCAATTTAAGACAATGAAAATTTTCAGAAGTGTCCCACCTGTTGATCAAGTGTTCATCTTTCGTCTTATGGAGAAACACAGGAACTGGAACACCCCAAACTCTTTGCCTTGATATACACCAATATGGCCGCCTGTCCAGTGTGTCAACCATGGCATTCAGTGCAGAACCAGGAATAAATTTCACTTTTTTTAACAATTCCTGCAATTGATTTATAAACCAAGTCTAGTAAGCAAAAGCAGAATACATTTTCTAAAACATTCACTATTTTTCCTAATGTAGTTCTTTATTTTGGATATTTATAGTCATTCACATATGCCCCTTCCCAAGACACACACACACACATACACACACAAATGCAAAATTAAAAATGAAAGATTTCAAAGCAGGTGAAGCAAAGTGAAAAATGAAGCCACAAAGAATAGTACCAAGAAGACTTCATTCTGAAGAATGTAACAAGAAATTTAATACCAGCTTCCAATTTATACCCACCTTAGATAAAACTGGTAATAAAAATTTTTTAAATTTATTTATTCATTAATTTATTTTAATTTGACCAAAGAAAGAAAAACAGAGAGAGAGAGAGAGAGAGAGAGAGAGGAAAGCGAGAAAGCAAGGCCGCCAGATCCAGGTCTCGAACCTTGGTCAGCCATGTAGGAGTGTCCAGCACCTTAACCACCACACCACGTGCTGGTCCCAATAAAAGTTTTAACAGAAGTATTATACTTCATTAAACTATAGTTAAAATCAATTCAAACTTGATTTCAATCATTCTTTAAAAATTTTGTCAAAGGGTATGTGCACTCACTGGATAGAAAGAGTGAAAGAGAGGAAACGAGAAAGCAGCCCCTATGAGGAACGGTCATGCCACAATCCCTTCTTCTCATTCTCTCCCTCCTTTCAGGATTTTGTGCATGCACTCACATGAATCCAACATGATTCTCGAGCCGACAGGTCTGGAACTCGAATCACAAAGTTGAACAAGTGGTATCCAGGTGCCTTACCCACCACAGCGCAGGCTGGCCCACCAACCATTTTTTTAACTGCCTAAAAAGTAAGCTACAATCCTAGGCTGACAAATAAGGATTGCAATATATCTTTATTTTATATAGTAGGGTTTACAGTATAGGAAAATGTTTTTCTCAAAATAAGTTACATCCTATTTACTTACCATCTTTCTTTTATTAAATATTTTTTATAGAATTTTATGACTTTTAAAAATTATTTAAATTTACTTATACATTCAATTATTTTAATTTGACCAGAGAGAGAAACAGAGAGAGAGAGAGAGAAAGTGACTAAGCAAGCCACCAGGTCCAGGATTCGAACCATGGTTGGCCATGTGGGAGTGTCCAACACCTTAACTACCATGCCACCTGCTGGCCCCTACTTACCATCTTTCAAGAACTTGCCCTTCTTCTATTCCCCACAAAGTTATAAACTACTAGCATTTGATTTAACTTATTAATTACCAAATGATGAATCAGTACAGTAGAAAGGTTTGGTAATAATCTCTAAAAAAGCTAAAACGTTTTCATCTTATTCTAAAAAGTTTTCCTATCCATTAATAAAAGTATTTTTACATTTTCAGAGCAGATTTATATGGTGTTGTCACTTACTTTAACTACCAAAAATCCTCTCCCTTAAAAACTATTTTAGCACCACCTACTGACAGAATGGCAATATCTGCAATTCAATTTGATCATTCCATGCTTTAAAATCTAAAAAATGTGAAAAACAGATTTGATTTTTTTTATTTTTTAAGAAATAACGATAAGTTTTGTAAGGTGGCGATAACAGAATTGTAATTATGCATTAAAAGCCTATCTTTCAGAATATACTGAAATATATAGTAAGCTGAAATACTGCCTGGAAGAAATAGACTATGAGAGAAACAATGCCTGGAATTTGCTTCAAAATAATCTAGTACCTAGAGAATAAACGGTGGGTGGTAGGAAGGGTACAGATAAAAACAAAAGTGAACAAAAGTCAATTATTATTGTAACTAGGTGATGGGAATATGACAGTATGTTCCCCCATCCTCACTACTTCTAAAATGTGCAACTAAAAATTGTCTATAAAAAAATTTTGTAAAAACCCAAAAACTCAGGTTAGGTGTTTTGCATCACACTTACATGTTCTGTAGCCTAAACTCTACAGAGCTGATAGATACATATCTTAACATGTACAAATAAGGAATACGGGCTTCATAGGAACAACAACAACAAAAAAGCACGCTGCATCACGGCTGTCCACATTACACGAGCACAGACGACATAAATTGCTATGCACAGTGGTTCAGGCAAGGACACTAGATTGCTGGCCAACAAATGAACCAGCTAATTACAAAAGCATCTAAGAAGCAAGCCGTAAAGCAAAATATCTGCATGTTCACCAAGGTTAAAAAATAGATATAGTTGAGCTCTCTCATTCAACCAAGTTACTTTTGAGAGAGATGTACACATTGACATATATGCAAACATAGATACAAATTTATATATTAAATGAGAAGAGCTCAAATATGTATTAAAAATGTAGACTATCTGGTTTAAGGTACTTAAAGCAACCACTGTTTCAATGGATTACAATTTCAGTCATTAGGAAACAAAGCGTTTAAAGAGTTTTACTGTGGTGCTGCAGTAATGCAGCTGGACGTACACAGGAACAGTTCTGGGACCTTCCTGTGCCCACAGGGCACATTTGCACGTACTCATGATCCAAGCCAGTAAAATCAATCAATAAATGAATAAAAATAAAAGAGAGTGCCAGCATGTGGTGTGGTGGTAAAGGTGGCTGGATCCCACATGGATGACTGTGTGGGTTTGATTCCCAGACCCTGCAGCTTGAAAAACATGACAGGTGCATGTGCATACATGCCCCAAATCCTGAAATCAGGGAGAGAGAAAAGAAGAATGATTGTAGCACAACCATTTCCACAGGGAGGTGCTTTCTCACTTTCCCTCTCTTTCTCTGTCTCTTGCTGGTGAACACAGGAGCCCTCTGGTAGTTCCTTTTTTTAAAGAATTATTTGATTTAACTTTATTTATTTATTTAAATTTGACCAGAGAGGGATAAAGAAAAAGAAAGAGGGAGAGATACAGAGAGAGAGAGAGGTAAAGTGAGAAAGTAAGTTGCCAGGTCAGGGACTTGAATCATGGTTGGCCAGATGGGAGTCCAGTACCCTTAACCACCATAGTACCTGCCAATCCCAACCCTCTGGTAAATTTTTTTAAATAAAAATCAAAATGAACTTTATTGAATGCTTATTAATGTGACAGACACTGTTCTAGAATCTTTTTTTTTTTTTTTTGGAGAGATTTTCACTATAGGGCGCGTGCGCTCGCCAGACAGACAGAGAGAGACATAGAGACAGAAAGCGAGAAATCACCCCCCAGGAGGGATAGTCACGCCGCAATCCCTTCTCCTCCATTCTCCTCTCGGGATCTTGGGCACGCACGCACACACGCCT